CGAAGTTCTTACGAACCGACTTCAACATGTTTTCGCTTGCACTGACCGGGCAATCAGCTTTAGTATCAGTCCGCCAATACATTAATCGGTTCTAGGGCTTAAATTCCTTACTATTTTAGTAAATATCAAGAAGTTTATACTATTCAATAATTTTAAAACTTTAATATTAAATTTTTTAGTCATTTTAACAATTATTGAACATAATTGAAGGTAAAGTGACTAGTTTAATGAGCAGCATCCAGCCTCTTAACACAGCAAACAGGAGTTAGTCTCTCTCTGTTTTCACTGGAGGTAACATCTTGCTTGAGACTCTCTTCAACTAAACGCTTTTTTTCTGTTTCCAAGCAAATTATTGGTCATTTTGAAATATATTTTACATATTGACAATATATAATGCAGTGCAGTATTGATTTAAAGAAAATAATCTTGAATTACACCAAGAGAGCTAAAATTTTATGGGAGAAATGGCACCATGGGGTGACTTCTCTTCCACCCCAATGCCTTCTCTTCTTCCTTCTCCTCCACCCCCATTCTAAATCCCATCATCATCATCCAGGAGCCTTCTACATACACACCTCAAAGTAAGTGAAATTTCTACCATTTTTGTTGAATTTAGGAAATTTTCGATGAGCTGGAACCAATTACCCAAAAACCCATTGAAACAATGGTTTCGGTTAACGAACTTTTCGGTTAACGAACGACCTTCTGGAACGGATTGAGTTCGTTAACGGAGGGGTCACTGTACTGCATTGTCATTTGGCAGGAGAGAGCAGAGCTGTGAGTAAAGGTGAGGGAATGTCAGCCTATGGTTCACTCATTCTCCCCCTCAATGTTCGCTCCCACACACTAATAAATGTTTAAACCCTTTATGCTAATTACCTTATTTTTTCTTTTACACATTCTGTTTGAAAATTGTATGTCCATGTAACAGAGTAAAAAAAAAAAAAAAGTAGGTAGGTATACCTACATGGAAATACAAGTTGAAAAATAACAACGCAACTCCCAGCTTGACTGGACGCCTAGGTACCGTCTCTGTACCCCCCCTCCCGTGGCACTACCCCTTCCACGATTCCCACACATAATTTTTTTAATCCCTTCATGTTTTTGACCTTATGATAATTATTTTTACATTCTGTATAATTGTATGTGCATGTAACGGTAAAAAAAAAAAAAAAATTATATTTCCCAGAAAATTTGAGTTGAAAAATAACAATAAGACAACTCACAACTTGGCCCTCATTCACACCTGCCTCACTGCTTCAATGCCTGCCTCTCCCACAATCTGCACACTCACTACCTAACAGATGAAAAAGTTAAGAAAATACCTTATGGGAGGGTAGTCAGGGCTCACCACCACAAGAGGGCAAGCAGGGGTGGGCTGAGTAGGGGGCTTACTCTGTACATCTCTCCCCAAGATGGCATTGCACAAAATTTTAATTTTTTCCCAGACCCAAATTTGTAGAAGTGAGGGAAGCTTTCGTAACTCAAAATAAGTGGTGCAAATGTTCGTATCTCCAGGGATATCTGTACCTGTATGTAACTTTTAGAAATCCAAATGCACACTGCTTAATCCAAAGATATTCAGATTTTTTAGCTTTGTCTATAAATAGAGTGAGAGTTCATATATGTAAACATGCATGTTTAAACATACATACACAAGTATGTATGTCTGGTTGATGAGTTATGTATAGTCCCCCAAAAAAGTATCGTTAGCCATGGGATCGATGTGCTTCGAGGCTTTCCAAGCAATGTTGCTCAACCTGTTTCTGAACGGTTGGTAGTTGTACATCTGCGACCTTTGAGCATGAAGGAGTGTATAACTTTTTCAACAATACATACATTAATACAGTCAACCCTCACTTTACACGGTCCCACATTCCGCGTTTCCACGTTTACGCGGTGCCCTGCCGGATCCCAGGATGCTCACATTCCGCAGTGCGTGTACCCCATTACGCGGAGTGTCCGGCTCGACGCTATTTTTAGATTCGCCCCACCCGCCTGCTCCTCCGCCTGGCCAACGCTGTAAGGTTACAGAGTAAGGTTGCACAGTGCATGTCTCTGTTATAAGTATCATCGACGCCATATGACGTGATCGGGATCATGACACATGCATCCTTTACCTCCGCTGCTAGCTGAATGTTTAAAAGTATTGCGACGATCCACCCAGGGGAGGGAGGGAGGAAAGACGACGCCACCCAGCCTCGGCAGTTTCATCCCTCCGCCCAGGCCACACAGCAATCGCATCCATTGTTCTGTAAATGGCTTCCGCCGACCACCTAAAGAAAACCTTTCCTTGCCTGACCCAGCCGCACCTAAGCCCAGGAAGACACGACGCTCCTTAAGCCACGAGGTGAAGTACAAGATCATCCAAGAGTTAGAGAAGGAACAAGACAGGTTGATTTGGCTCACAGCAAGATGGTGAATCTAATCTAAGATCCGGACGAGCAAAGAAGGATGCAGCTAAGAAAAAGGAGCACATGAAGATCACAAAGTCTACAGGTGCTTCTTTATGATCAAGTATTTTTACAACCAGGTGTTTTCAAGACGGAAAAATTACTTGTGAGCTACTGCAGGCGTCAGGCGCGACGGAACATGCCGGCCTATATGTGCTCTGTTAAGAGCACGCATTTGAACTGTATGCTGCAGTGTCATGAAGATGGGAATTACAGAGCCCAAACCCTTAACTTTCCTCTGGGTGGTTACAGAGGCTTAAGATGAACAAGATCACCAATATAAACATTGGTGGTGAAGAAGCGAAAGGCTGACTGCGGCCATGCTAGGGAATTTCCTCCGCTTTTACTCTGGAATATGGAGGAAGGACAAAGAACGACTAATTGGTGGTGCGTTTAACATGACGAATTCCGGTCTTTGGTGCTTACCTTCCAAGACCTTCACAGAAGAATGCCAGTGGACCGGGCCGGAAGATGCAGAAGGAGAGCATCACCGCCCTGTTTACCAACACCAATGCCTCCGGTACTCAAGCCTGCCATCGGTAATCCACACAGCCCGCAAGCCAAGACGCCTACAAGAGCATGGACATGAACAAAGCTTAAATGTCCACTGGCTGACCGCGACGTAAGGCGAGGATGTCTTCTACACTGCCCATCTCCTAGTTTGATGACTGTTTGTTCCCGATGCGTAAAGGTACCCAGAGCAACAGAATGCCAGTCAAGATTTTGCTGCTGACAACGCATCAGGATACCCGCCTTACCGTTAGATCGCTACCCCAACGTAAAGTGATTCTTTCCTCCCAACACTTGCCTATATTACACCTCTATGGACCAAGAGTTAATCTAATGTAAAAGCTGCATTCTCAACAAAAAATTCGCTCTGGAACGACTTCACCAACACCAGGAAGAGTTATGAATTCCTGAGTGACACCACCACCAAAAAGGGGTAAGAGCGAAGAAGATTTAGGATCAACAGTTGGAAATGGCAGCAAAAAATACTTTTCAAACAATTCTGGAGAATATTTAACATCAAGAAAGCTGTGATTTCGGTGGAGGCATAGGATCAGCTGTCTGAAGCAACTGTCTGCCACGCATGGAGACATGTGTTGCAAGGCATTCCGTGGCGCTTGTCAATCTGCACTGGTGAGGTTCAGACTGTTGCAGTAGTAGTGACCTTGCCAGAGAAACTGCAAGAGTGTTGGTGCTTACAGGTCTTGAGACCACCAATCCATTTACATCCTGGAGGTGATAATGGAACCTGATGTGACTACTCGACGATGGTAGATGATGATGATTGCCAGTGAAGAGTATAGGAAAAGGCCATCCCAAGAAGAACACTGCCATCCCATAGTAATGTTAGGGTGCCATCGAGTGTGATTTCCCCAAGCTCCTCCTTTCCCATTTAATTATGACGCAAACAGGTATGAAATCTTCACTACCCAGCTGCTGCAGACTATGGAGCCCCACATCAAGGTTTATCAGACAACATAAACACCAGCCGGGCCAGCAAAGCGACAACGAGATCTTCGGCCAGAACTCCACCACAGCCAGCCTGGGCCAGTGATAGTGACAGGGGTAGAGACAGTGAAGATGACTGAGAGATTTGTCAGGAGGCCCTGGACAAGTGTGGGATGACAGTGATGGTGATCACCTGAGGGCCAGTAGCCTGCCCCTGCCTCTTCAGAACCGTCTCCATCCCCTCGTGATGCACTCCATCTCTTACTAACTTAAGTGTTCAACCTAACTTTTAGTTTTCCTAACTTAACCTTTTTATTTTTCCTAACTTAACCTTTTTATTTTTCCAAACCTAACCTCTTCTATATTTGTTTGTGCATTCCATCATAAAGTTAAGATAAAATTTTTACTTCAACATAATTGTGTCAGCAAAATGTGGAGTTTGGGGGTCGTCCGGTCTCTATTTCAATTAATCCCATATGTTATGTTATTCACTTTACGCGTTTCTCACTTTCCGCGGTACCCTGAGGGTTACATTAACCACGTAAAGTGAGACCCAACTGTATAGTTTAATGGATTTCTTGCTATATTGAAGTATCTTGTACACAAAGACGATTCCCTCCCCCAATCCAACTCCCATCTCTAGCTGTTGCTGAAATGGTGAGCAGGGGTACCAACTTATGATGATGCACTGAGGATCATATCAAAGCGTTTCGTCTAGCATTTCAAAATGTAGCGACGGAAAATCTAACGTTATATTTATTGAGGAGTGTACTTGTATGCATATTTTTGTCCTATGACTTTACTCTTCAACATTTCCATAACTTAAAACAATCTAAGTATCATCAATCAATAATCCTGGCAAGTTATATGATTATAAAACACAAATTCATTCGATGCACATACTAATCAATTATTATATTCGGGTTATTTTGAAAATATAAACAGATTAAGTTCTGATGGTACCAATAACACAACCATGCAATGCTTCCTTCCATGGTTTTGATTCATTACAGTAATCTTCACAAATATTACAGCCTAAAAATGTTAGTTCACCCACCTTAACGAGAGACTTTAAACTGTGAAAGCACTAACCTGACTGCCTGTAGAATAAGCTCCATCTTGGGTTGTCTATTATCCTCATCATGCATCACCCACTTAAGAACAGCATTGTAAACATCCTTCTCATCAGGTACATTCAGCTCATCTCGCTGTATAAGATTCACTAACTGGTAACTCGATAACTTCAAAAATTCTTCTTCCAACGAAACCTAAAGAAAATGTTGCTGTTAAGCTATACATGCATTTATATCCATACCCTACATGTATTTTCCTATATTGGCATGTGCAGCAACCTCAGAAAATAGTTTAGCTACTAACAAGGACTTGTTTCAGATTATGAGAGAAAACATAGTACAGCCCCCGACTTACAAACATCAGCCGATACAAACACGTTTAAACTTGAAATTTACAGTATTTTATTTACCAGATGGCTTATTTTTTACTTTCACTGACTGTATTTTATCATTCTATTTCTTCTTTCGTCTTAAATTAAGTGATTTTAGATGTATAAAGACTGAGGCTATAAAATAGTGGGATTTTAAACATTGTTCTGTAAGTAAGGTATGCATATAGCATGTGTTCTGACTTCAGACAAGTCCAAATTAATAACGTCCTCAGGAACGGAACCCGTTCAGAATCTGGGGACCCCCTGTACTGTATGCATAAAAGAGGAATATCCAGGTTATCGCAAGGGATGCGTTCCAAAAATTCATTGCAATAAAAAAATTTTAGAACATCAAGGCAATTTTTCCATTATTTTTTTGTATAAAGTACTGTACACCTCATTATTCATGGCTATTAGGGACCAAATAATTTGCTCTTAAAATTCATGTAAACACAAACAATTTCATCACCAACAACACCACACATACTGTCAATGACTCAGTTGCCTGATGATCCAATTTCTCCTCATTTACTCTGTTATTCTGTATTGTTAAATTTCATATTTAGAATGTTCAAATCTTTCGTAAAGTAAATTTCCAATTTAATGATAAAGTACTTCTGTATTGTGCATGTAAAATTATTGAATGGGTTTCAGCATACACAGGTAGTACCATTCTCGTGCAAAAATAATAAGAAATAGAGAAGTTGGCAATTTTGATCTACAAAAGATGCAAAATTTATGAAGTTTATTACTCTTTAGGATCAAATTGCTTTATAATTAAGAGTAAAATTGTTTTCTCTTCCATTTTTAGGCTACTAAATTCCTTGTTATGAAAATTAATTACCTCTGAGAAATGTTGCTCAATAAATGTATTGGCCTTATGATACAAATCCATGCAGCCATGTTGCTGAGCAAAATTAGCAATTCCAATGGCATTCCCAGCCTCCAGTTGCTGCTCTAGGAACGTGCAGCATGCATCAATTACATGATTCATCTGAAACACAAAACTATATGGTAATACAATTGTTGAAAGGTATATAGGTATTATTAGGTGAAATCTATATAATTTGGAAGTCATTCTACACTCAACATAAGATGACAAAATGTGGAATTGATCCTAAAACCCCCATTTCATATCAAAGTATGGGCGGCATCTCATGTAGCTACTTCTGCTTGCAAGCTGAGGTCCCACAATTACCAGGCCTCCTCTCCTCTTGTGTGACCTGGAATATACCCCAGAAATCTGATGAAAACCATAGAGTTGGAGACAGAATTTCACTCAATTCATCTATAACTCATCCCACCCAACCCCCCACCCCAAAAAGGAGGGAGGCAAACTGATGAGGTCAGATGCCAAACTGACAGCCACAAGTCTGCCGTACACACTTCTGCGATGGTTAGAAAATAGGTAAGAAATTAGGAAGCAATCTCAGTTGGCCCTCAGTTCAAACTCAATTCAGCACTCCATGAAAAGATGGGTGGGATCTCAGTTGACCATTTCATGCTTGGTTATAAAGTCGGATTTTAGGATGAATGCCACATCTATAACTGACCTCACTATTAATATGACAAAGATGCAACATATTTAATTTTTCATCATGAAATCTTAGCATACTTTCTTGTGGCTATATTAAAAGCTAAAGAGTCAATGCTATAAGGTTTCACAACTGGAGATATTTAACTTCTTTGGATAACTTTAAACTCATCATCAAAGTTTTGTATGGAGAAGTGAACAGCATCTGACTATTCATTTATGATTCATACTAACAATTTTCCTACTAGTTCTAGCATATTGTAGTACAGTACTTGCTGTACACTTCTCTTGTCACTGGTAAACATGATGATTGTGCCATGCATCATCTCATATTGTTACTGTCATAAATTAAGCTATAAATTGATTGTGAAGAATTTCCCAAAATGTTATACACAGTATACCTGCATTTAGTTAGTTTTTGATCTGAGTTCAGTGTCAAAAGTTTGAGCAGTCAAGATAAATATTGTCAATATTACTACCATGTTGTGCTCTAGAATCTGTGATCACACATCCAGTACCTGCAGATGTAAAAGGAATGACCACATATAAATTCAAGCTTACACAACTGTATTATTCATACCAGGATAATCACCTTAAATAAATATAAGACCCACACCATCAAATTTCCAGCCTAGGCTCTTTCTTAGGTAAAAATTTGCATTTTTTTAAAATAAATTTTTAAAAACTTATTTTGTGCCTCTGCTTTGTCCTAGCCTGCTTCGCTTTTATAACTAAGGTACCCCATTTAAGAGAATAACTTTAAAATACAGCACAGACACATTAAATACTGTATTACAGTCCTTGAAAGATGCCTGAGAACTTAACTAATAGTGATGCAGTGTGAACACGTACTGTATAACCAAAAGAAACTTAATTGCTGAAAGAATGATAATACTACTACTACTACTAATAATAATAATGTACTAATAAGATACCGACCTGAAGCATGGTGGCTGCAGGAAGAAGCTGACATACAAGCATCTCGTTAATGACAATCTCCCCAGTGTACATGAAGCACAGTAGGTGAGCCAGTACTGTGGGACACACACCCTGTAGCTTTACTGTGTCCATCTCACACTCACGTAAACCACCAGTAAACATGGCCTGCCAAAACACATTACAGGGTATTAAATTTTTTCCTTTAAATTAATAATTTTTCTTTTCACATAACCAGTTACTGAGGTACATAATAGCTTGGCAGATTTTTCTAAAGTTTCTAATGTTTGAAATACTTCCACAGGTACAGGGGCAGATACAGGAATATCAAAGAAGAACTTTGTGGGTGGGGGAACATGGCCAGCACAGCGTGCCCAAATATTTATCGGTACCGGGCATGTTCACCAGGAATTGCCCAGTACAGGGATTGTTTACAACCTGTGCACCAGATCAGCTGACGATTCAGAGGTATTGTCCTTGCATCGTCACTACCACAGCTAACTATCACTGGTGTGGAGCCAATGTCAAACATCTGTTTGTATTATTTATTAATACTATTCCCTAAATTTAGTACACAATAGTATAATTATATTCTTATACACATTACAAATGCATGGAACAATTCTGTATGGAAAATAAAGGAATACCTTGTATTATAAGATATATTAATAATAATAATACAGTGATCTCTCGGTTAACGAACGCCCTGGTTAACGAAATTTCAGTTAACGAATTACCTTCCATAAGATTCTTCACTTGCTAATTTACGTTAACTAATTCTCTTTGTTAACTTTCCCAACATGTTTTCACTTGCATTTGACTGCTCACCAGCTGTAGTATTAGTACGCCAATACAGTAATCGGTTCTAGGGCTTAAATTTGTTACCATTTTAGTAAATATCATGAAGGTTGTACTACTGTATTCAATCATTTTAAAAGTTTTATAAATTTTTTAGTCATTTTAACAATTATTGAACATAATTGAAGTACTGGAAACTAGTTTTTTATGCCAAACAGCCACTCAACACACCAAGCTTGGCGTCAGTTTATTTATCGGTTCAGAAGAAGGAACATCTTGTTTGAGACTCTTCAATATAAACGATTTTATTCTGTGTTTCCAGTCAAATTATTGGTCATTTTGAAATTTATTTTACATATTGACAATATATAATGCAGTGCAGTGTTGATTTAAAGAAAATAATCTTGAATTACACCAAGTGAACTAAAATTTTATGGGTGTAATGGCGGCATGGGGTGACTTTCCACCCCAATGCCTTCTCTTCCTTCTCCTCCCCCCATTCTAATTCCCATCATCATCATCAACCAGGAGCCTCTACATGCACACCTCAAAGTAAGTTTACTTTACTGCATTTATTTTTAGTTTGTATGTAATTTTCGGTGAGCTGGAACCAATTACCCAAAATCCCATTGAAACAATGGTTTCAAGAACGAAATTTTTGGTTAATGAACGACCTTCTGGAACGAATTGTGTTCGCAACTGGGACCACTGTACCAGGATATATCTATTACATATGAATGGTAACTGTAGGCTTATATTACATGTCTGGAGTTCGTGAGGGCTGAGGAACTCCTCTCCAATTTGACCTTTGATTGTGTGTCAAGACGCTAAATCGAGAGCTTGTTATATCGGATATTGTTAAATCGAGAGTATACTGTATATGCTGTGAAACAGTTTTTGGATAGACAGTGTCTTGTGGCACTATTAAATTCACTTATTTTGTCTCAGGGTGAGTATTGTAACTCTTTATGGGTCTACCTACCTCATTATCTACAGAAGAAAGTTCAGACAGTGTTGAACAGGGTTGCCAGGCTTATTTTTACTCGTCCCCGAGGACTCTCACTACCCTATTCTTGGTCAAATTGCACTGGCTTCCAATTAAAGCTAGGTTCGAGTTTAAACTCTGCCAAATGACTTTTAAGGCACTTATGTTAATGATCCTAAGTACTTGTCCAATCTAATAAACCCTCTGACCACAAATTCTGAAATGATATTGTGCAGTAGTGATGATCCCTCTTGCCTCGAGGAGTGCAAAGCAGTACAAGAATGTTCTTTCACTGCCCAATCCTTTGCCTGCATCCATGAAGCAGCTGAATTCTGTGGAGATCTTCAAGAAACAACTTTTTTGAAAGATTATAGTCCTTACGATCCTGATGGAAAAATACAGGGTTTAGGAAGTGTTGCAACTTAAGGATCTATGAACTGTCACTATTTTTTTGTAGTACATGCACTGTATTATCTTCTTTTTAGCCTTAGGTCCTTGACTTTAAAGTGATTTGAGCACTAGTGAATTCCTAAGAAGAGGATCTTTTGATAAACAAAGACCATTTATTATTATTACTGTATTACAAGAGTACTGGTAAAAGTTTCCCGATAATTTTCAACAGGCATTACATTGCTCTTGGACTATCCAAAGGTGGCGGATCACTTCCGCAGGTTCTAGATTCTGCAGTTTAATAATACAGTATAGAAACTCACTCTCGTCTCTTGCTGCAGCTTCATCTATTACGTATTTTTTTTTTTAAGCTTTGAATTGCTTAATTCTGTAACTGGTTTTGATGTGGTCTGGTAACTTATTCCAGTCTGTTATAGCAGTAAAGAAAAAAGTGCTTATTGCTTGAATGCAGATACCAGGTACCATAAAATTGTCTTCACTCCCTGTAGTGCCCTGCCAGTTCATATCTCTAATTCTTGCAAAGTTTGTTATTAATAATCTGGGCACAATCACCTGAAAATTCTGTAAGTGTGATTCAACCTCAGTTGCTTCACTCTATCCACCACGCTTGACATGTTCAGTAATTGTAAACCTTCATGACCAATGTGATCTGTTGCTTTCATGTCAAGAATGAGCCTCACCACCTTGCTTTGAACAAACTGGAGCTTGGATTTTAGCTTCTGTGTTAGGGCAAAGTACCATGACAAGCAGTAACTGTTCAAGTGACATTGTATGAGCACCTTCAAATGTACTGCCTGTCCTTCCTTTAACATTTCCTACATGTTATCTGTCAACCTCATCGTTTAAGCCAACATGATAAATATATTCAATAATACAGTATATCATCATGTGTTTTCAATATCAAAATATCCTACTTAAATAAATACAGTATGTAGTAGTAATATGCATTAAAAAAAATAAAAAATAAAAAAATAAAATAAAAATAGTAATACACCTGATGAGTTAGGTTTTTTATGTGAAATTGGTTATTCTGCAAAAAAAAAAATGGTTATTTTGCAAAGTGACCTGAAGTTTTCAGGTATTATGCATACAGACAAGAATATTGGTAACTTTGCAAAATGACTGCAAATCTTACTGGCCAATTTGTAAAAAATCCAGAACAATATTCACACAATAAGTGTACAGTATTTATTTCCATTGATAAAAACACTAATGAAAGGAATAGTCTTTAACTGAAGAACTTGAAGAAAAGTCTCTTCAATGCATAAAACAATAAACAATTATCAGTTCTTATTATTCCGACTTGTTTGCACAAGGAGAACTGAACTTACATTGCTTTGACAAGAGTTAGAGCAGTTACACTTGATGAAGCACTGTGCGTGGCCCATGGAATGTGAAATGGCAACTTCATGCAGACTTATTTCCTCCCTTTCTGATACATCTGTAATGGAGAGGAACTTCTCCACATATTGGGTCAACTGATTTCAAGTGTGAAGCTGTTAATGAATTCCATATTTCTTCCCAAGCTTATATTGTCCATTTTCCTTTACCTGAATGATTACCGACTTCACATTTGTAAACTCTGCATGTCCAAGATCAACGAGTGGGATCAGAACCAAAACAGTGTCGGTCACACTTGAGATGGGTAGAAGTGCCCCACAGAAACCACAATCATTTATTCGGCTTGATCCTGTTGTTTTCTTCTAGTTTCCTTTCGTTGAGCTTGAGTCCCCTTCTGTTGATCACAGAACACTCACCATACAATCCATCAACATTATCATCCACAACAGAGCATGGAGCACAGGCAGGACAGGGGCTCCCACAGTCCTTGCACTTGTCGATTCACAACAATTCTTACAGTAGGAAACATATATTGAGCTAATGCCGGCTTGGTTGGAGTTGTCGTCCTGCTCCTTGCTGGCTGAATCCACCTCAATTTCTGCTTCTAATCCTTCCGTGAGCTGCTCTTCCATCTCTAAACCTTCCTCCGGCAGATTACTCACAGCAACACTATGACGAGATTTCTGTCCAGACATCGCCTCAGAAGATGTTCTACCGATTCCAGGTCTTTGGCCTGTTAACAGGTTAATTTTGCAAAATCACCAACATGCAAAATGGCTGAACATTTAGGGTCATTTTGCAAAATAACAGGGTTTTGGCTTGTTTGCAAAATGGCCAGTCTTTTTTGGAAAATACAATAACCAATTTCACAAAAAAAAGTAACATACAGTATACTGTACACAAGCTGTACTGTACCTTAAAATATGGACTGGCAGCAGCAAGAACAATTTTGTGGCCATGGAAGATTTCTCTACCAACCTCAAGTTTAACATCAGTCAACATCTGATTGCTTTTCATCAGCAGCATCATCTGTAATAAAAACAAAAATTAATTTTAACTAAAGTATGAATTATACTATAGGTATTGCTAAATTAGTCATCACAAATTTGGGGGGTTGAGTGTTTAGTCATTTTATCTTATAAAAACAACACATTAGCACATACAAAGATTACTAGGATAATGTTAATTAGCTAATGCAGTGGTTCCCAAACTTCACAACTTCACAGATCAGCAGAGTGGAAAAAATTCTGCAGACCGGTAATTGTAACTACAGTGAACCCTCGAAGAATCGGACTCGGTAAATCCGGATCTCGAAAGATTCAGACAAAATTTGGGGACTCCGTGGGCTAAGAAGCCTCCCTAAGACGCATTCCCCAAAAAGAGCAAAGATCATTTTAAGCTCGTGTAACTAAGATGTCAGCGCGCAGGACACAGGTGCCCGAGGCGGGAAACATAAGCAGAATTGTCAATTGTTGATGGATGGAATATTATTTCATTCACTCTAGTAATGATACAATGTTTTTTATTATGTTATCATAGGTAAATGCATGGTTTATATAATTTGTTTATCACTGTGCCCGTCACCGTTTTCAAATTAGACTACAAAATATGTATTTCTCCGATTCGTATTTCAATTGTACGCCTGGCAATGGGGGAGGGGGCGGACCAGTAGTTAAAGCATCATCTGCCATTGTAACTCTCCTCCCTCTTTGCTACGTTTCACTGGATTTACTGTTATTATTACTGTTTACTAATATATAGTTTGTTTTTCAATCATATTTTCAGAGAATCATTTTTTCTTCATTTATTTTTACTGGAGTTACATGCACACACCATCCTTCACACATGTGCGTCCTCTACTCTACATAGAGTTTGAAAATACATAGAAAGTCTAAAATGGGTGTCTCATTTTCTTTTCAGCACCAAGAGAACTCTCACTTTTACACTTGCCAGCCATTTTAAAGGGAATTACAAACGAAAATTTTGTCAGTACACAGCGCGATCACTCACATCGGGACTCGAAAATACGTAATTTGAAAAATATTTTATACGACTGCAGCGGTCGTATGTCCGGGTGGTCGTAAGTCGAGGAGTACCTGTATTGTGAAAAAAGTAAAAGAAATAATTGTCCTAAGGGCAAACACGTAATAGGAGGAGACAGCAGAGTGAAGTGGGTGGGGAGCGTTGCTAAGGAATCGGCGTCCCAGCTGGTCTTCGTTACTGTAGTGAAGCAGGGAGTGTATGCAAATGATGACTGTTAAACTTTCATTTACCTTTTATTTACTGGTTTAGCAATACAGTATTTTTTGTTGTAACTTATTTATTGGTATTATTTTTATTCATTCCTCACATTTACTGGTACTGTATATATTATTTTAAGAAAACTTTGACTACAGGAGGAAAATAATGTACACACAAGATTTTTCGTAAATACTCCCGGCTTATATACCTTAAAAACGGTACCGTATATTTGCTGTTTTTTATATCATTATTTATCGTTTTTATACATTTAGTAAATTCACCAGAAGATACGGACAATCGGCTTTTTCGGAGAGGTGGTCCAGAATCCTCGAGCGCTCACGTCCACAAAGGCTTCATTTGATGTGTTGGAAGTCCTATGACGGAGGTTCTCACCGTCCAATGGAAGGTGGGTCGATTCCACCAAGACATCATGTCAGATTTCCTTCAACATATTTACCGTGAGATCCCTTACTTCGTCGTGCCTCATGCATACGAAACCCACCTTTCTTGCACACCATGGCGTGGTCAATGTCATAGGAAGAGCTACACACGCATTGGTAGGGGCAAACCTTCTACTGGCTAACCTCACCTCACAACAATGGGATCTGAGAATTCTTGCTTTTTAAGGCCGAAACCTCCTGCCCCTATCAGTAACGCTATTAGACATTTCAGATAGTTCGAGGCGCCCACCTCCTGTGCCACAACTACTCCCCTTTTTCAAGTTCTCTGGCAATTGTGGCATGAGTTGCTGCAGTTTATCACTTTGGGTGTGCTGTTCCTCTGTCGCAGTGGACTATCAAATCTTGTTTAATTCATTGGTATCCACCTCATTTGTTGCGCTCTGAGCTATTATATGCTCAGTGAGGGCTGCCATGAGCTTGACTGAGTTCCGATGTTCAGTGGTACCAAACTCCACTGGATTGCTCATTCCCATTCCTCCCAGTGTCAGTGGTAATGCAAAGAGTGATGACCTTTCTGGTGGGGTTAAATAAGGGTTTTTTCACTAGTGTTGGGATAAAAGCAACCTTGATGGCTTCTTCCAGAGTAATTCCAGCAATGCTCGACTCCATGGGTGAATGCCACAAGAGCCGCCTGTGGCTCATTTTTGGCAATATCAGACAAAGTTTGGATTTCCTTCACCTACTCATTTACTAAAGTTTAAATATATATAAATAAAATTTTACCAATAGACGAGTTGACGGTCGGAATTTTTCCTAAGATGGCAGGTCAACGGGTAAAGAAAACTCTTAAATTCACTATGGTAATGATATATTAAAATAAATTTGGCCAAAAAGTGGCAAAAATAAAGGTTAAAGTTGCTAAAAAGTCTCGTGACTGTGAAAATCTCTGCGATTGGTTGTGACATCACTGGTTGCGTCGAGCTGCCGAGCAGAAGCGTGGAGGCAGCCAGCTGTGGTGTATGTGTTGTTACCAGCAGAAACACATGACTTGTGGCCATATACAATGTTGATATACACATGCATACCTTAATTTTAGTTATAACAAATTACTGCTGAAGTATCACTGTTCTCTATTTCATGTCTGGAAAATGTAAGTTTTCGTCACTGATGTCTATATTTAATGTTGTGGAAGGACTAGGGACGACCATGGCCAGGGGATGGGCTTGAGATGATCAGATGACAGATGTAATTTAACGTGCTTCATAGCTGGATGGCCGAGTTTTTGATAATACTCTACAATCATAAAGACGTCTACTTTTGGTCAATTTCTTTCATCTGCCTTGATGAACCCTGGAAGTAGTTGTCCAACCTTCTCAGCTGATTGGCTCTGAAAATAAATATTATTAGATAGGTTGTCAACCTATCCTGTATTACCAACTTACTAATTTAAGATATGTTTCTACCTTATCCATAATTGGCAAAGATCCTCCTCCACCCCCATATGTGCAAAAATGGAACACAAGGAGCCTGAAAAATCCACTGGTGATGGCTGCCATCCCTACAGCTAATTTCAACTGATGATGGCCACCATTTAGGGGTAAAAAAAATCTTTATGTCTTATTTATTATAGCTATAGATTAGAAACCATTCTGTTATCAATTTGCAGGTAAAATAATGAAGTTTCTATCACAGTGTATTTTTAGACTGCATTGTGAAATTCCATAATGCGGGACCAAGTTTCCCATTGACTCCCTTTATATAAGTTGAGATGCATTCCTAAGGAAATTTTTTGCTCCCTAAAACTGTAACACAAGCACATATATGAATGAAAATAGACACATAGAATGATTCATTCATGTTGTAACATGGTAATAAATGCACAAAACACTCAAATTTAACTTGGTAGAAATGATGTTGAGTGGTGAGTGAGGTGAGGTGGTGCAATTGGAGTTAGTGTACGGGGGGGGGGGGGGGAGACGGAGGGTCACGGCTGACTCCTGCCTCTCCCTGCATATCGTCATCATCATCTGCTTCAGTTGCTGCAGGCTGTGGTCCTGGCAAAAAACTTGTCTAAAGTTGTTTGGCGTTGACAGCGCAATTTTTGATTGTAGAGCTCCTTGTAGCCACTCATGAGGTTCTCCGTGCCTCTTGCAAATTCGAGGCTAAATTCACGATCAGGGTCGTTAGTAGCAAAGATTTCCAAAACTTCATCTATATTACTTACCTAACCCTTTAGCCAATTGGTTTGTTGTCAACTCACAGCCTCATTGGACAGATCTTCTCTGTGGAACGCTAACAACTCAACCACACCATCTTAAACCATGTCCTCAAACCCTGTACCATTTGCCAGTGTTACAATTTCTTGTTGCACTTCATTTAAGGTTTGAACTTGGGGAAAACCTTGAAAGTCGTGGATGTATTCTGGCCAGATGTTCTTCCACGCACCATTCATTGTTGTTGTCTTCACTTCATCCCAGGACTCGGCAATGTTTTCCACAGCGTTCGTGATGTTAAATTTCTTTCAAAGTTCCCTAACTTATTGTTTATCCTCCCCATCAATTGCTGCTATGAGTTGTTTCAATGTTCTATGTAAATAGTATGCCTTAATGCTGGCAATCACACATTGATCCATTGGCTATAACAAGGCCATTGTGGTCTTGGGCATATTCAGTAAATCCTTGCCATTCACAAGGGTTAGGCTCCAAGGAATGGCTCGAATTGGCAAAACTGCGAATAGCAACTTATACTACCTTAGTGCACTACTGTACGTACTGTGTAAGAGAAACTTAAGTCACTAATACTACTTACATTCGTAAGTGGTGTACTGTACAGTAGGGAGACATCTGGTTACTGAAACATAGGGGGATCATCGGGATCACTGTTGGAAGAGGGTGATGCAGTGGTGGTTGTCGCAGAGGCGGGAGGTGGTGAGGCGCTTGGCCGGGAGGTGGGTGATGAGGTGGTGGGTGGTTGGGAGGGTGGAGTGGTGGCAGTAGCAGCTGAGTGAGGGAGGGAGACGAATCAGCTGGGCGAGTGGCTGGTTCTTTCTTGAAAAACATCATGATTGGTAGTTGTTTTTTCTTGGATTTTAGGTCTTTAAATATTTCCTGGTCGGGAACAATACCTCGTTGATTTCTTGGATGATCTTAAGGCTCCGTTCCATGGAAGGGTCGTGGTTCAGCAATGAAATCAGTTACCACCTTCACATGTCGAAATAGTTCACCAAAATTGTCCAAGCTCCAACCTTGTTGCAATTCCATAATGTCTTCATCTTCCTCGGCACTTTTTACCAACTCTTCCAAATCCTCTTCTGTAAGTTCTTCTCCATGCCCATCAATCAGCTCTTCCAAGTCTTCAGCAGCCATGTCCACAAACCCCTCACCACCCAACTGACGTGCAACACTCACATTATCATTCACATCCTTTACTATGGATGGAAATCCCTGAAGTTATTCACACACTCAGGCCATAAGGTGCACCAACAAGCATTCACTGTCTCTGGTTTAAGTTCATTGAATGATTCTCTGATGTTGGTAATGCAGTCCACAATGCTATAATCCTTCCAACACTCGACAACATCAAGGTTAGGGTCTGCGTCCATGGCACTACAGATACGACCAAAAGAGTGTTGGGTGTAATATGCCTTGAAGGTGCATATTACACCAAAACTGAACTGCTTAATCCAAGTGAGGTCTCACAAGCGCAAGATATAGTTTTAGGATAACCTTGCTAGTCTTGTAACTAGCACTCCAATGTACGAACCCAAGTACTTTATTAGCCGTGTTTCGAGCAAATACGCATTGTTGTCTTGGTTTAGGATTCCTACTTGTCATTACTCCTAAATCTTTCTCACCACAGTCTGATTTCTCTATATAAATTTTGTTCATCTGATATCTGGTTTCTCTGTTTACATCTCCTAGACTAAGTACTTTAAATTTGTCCACATTAAATTTCATCTGCCATTTTTCAGACCATGCAAAATTTTTTTGGAGATATAGCTGTAGTTTTGCGGAGTCCTCGTCACATTTAATTACAAGCCCTAGTTTAGTGTTGGCTGCAAATTGACTCATGTTGCTGTCTACGCCTATATCTATGTCATTTATGAACATGTATAATAAATAATAATGGTCCAAGTACTGAGCATTGGGGTACTCCACTAGTGACGTTACCCCAATCGGATTTGGTGCCATAAATACTGACTCACTGTTTACTGTCCTGTAACCACTCCCTAATCCAGTGGAGAACATCTCCAATTTTCATATTAGTCTTTCGTGTGGAACTGTCGAAGGGTTTGCTACAGTCAAGGTATACCAGATCATAATCATGTCTGTCATCCACTGATTCAAAAACAGTTAAAAAGAATGATAATACAGGGTGTCCATATATGATTACCCTGATTAAAGCATGGTCTACCACTGTTATTAGGGAAATCATTTATGGACTCCCAGTAGATTTGTCAGACATGAACATCAACTTGTGAAACTATGCTGAGAATCACAGATCAATTTGTGCTTCTCCAGGAAATTTTGAATTAAATTTGAAATTACGTATTGCTTCCAGTAATTTGCCTACAATTGATGTTAAACTAATTGGACGGTAGTTAGAGGATAGTGATCTATCTCCGTTCTTGAAAATCGGTATCACATTCGCTATCCTCCAGGATTCTGGTTCTACACCCATTTTTAATGACATGTTAAACAAATTTGCTAAGGGCATACTAAGTTCTTCCTTACATTCCTTTAATATTCTAGCAAATATCTCATCAGGACCTGGTGACTTATTTGGATCTAGTTTATCTATTTGTTTATTAACATCGTTACTAGTTACTACAATCTCGCTTAATCTATTTTCTTCACTATCTCTGTATATGCAGTAGTTGGTGTCATGTTTAAATCTTCGGTTGTGAAACTGATGAAAAATATCAGTGCAGATTATTGCTTATTTCTCCATTATTATCAGTCAGTTAGCCAGTATCTGTCTGTATTGGTCCAATCTTGTCTCATGTTTTTGTTTGATACATTTGGAAAAATCCCTTAGGGTTTGACTTTACCTCCCTGTGGAGGCAGTGGCTGCCAGGTCAGCTGACTGACCCAACCCAACCAGCTACACAATAGATGCAACCTCCATTTATATGTGCTAATACAACTTTTTGTAACTGTTATGTTTCAATGCAATCTTTGTTGTAGTTGAAGGTTTAATATAAAAGGAATGTGAATCAGATTCCTTGTGTGATCATTCAACAAAGCAGAGCAGTGTAAATGTAGTTTTCTCACAATTGGACATTAAATGTTAAACCAGTACAGTATTTACGGTTCCATGACAAAACCGCAACAGGCTTGTCATTTGTCAACACTAGCCTAAGCATAAAAGTGTTTTATTTTATATTTTATATACGAGACTGGGGTTTTGTTCATTGAGGTTTTATCCGGTCACCAGTATTTACATACACATACAGCTTTTCAAAATACTGTACTGTACTAAATTCTTGACTTCAAGTTGATTCTTTTCATCCATGTACTGTACAGTACAGTACATCCCTGTAGTTCATTTCCTCTACTTACCTCTCAAGTTATAAAACACCTTGACAAAGTAAGCCAAAAATATGATCCAATGGGCAAGGAGACATCATCAAAGCCTGATTCACTTAGCAACCAACAATCATTAGCATCTATGAGCTGTCACACTTGCTTTCAGTGTACAAAATTGGGCAAAACTCAAGGCAAAAGGTCACAAGTCAAAATGTACCATAGCTACCTAAAGTACCCACCTGGAATGCATCATTCTTGTATTCTGATATGCAGAACTTGATCTCCCCGGAGTCTCTGTAAGAAGCTCCATTACAATGTCGTGGGCGAATACAACCCCGTGCATTAGTGCCATTTGCTCCATTCCCTCTTCCTCGTCCACCAACACCTGTTTCCTCCATTTCTATGTCAGGATACCAGCTGGCCATCTCGTCATATACAAATGCTATTATAGCAAACCATTGTTCATCACTACAAAGGATCACCGATACTTCAATCTTATATATACCACCAACTATTATTTTGATGCTTAATCGAAGCAAAAAATTTCAAATGTTTTTCATGACACTGAAATCACAAATGAGGTAGAACAGCACTACAAAGTGAAATCACCCAGCATCATAAGTCCATGTAACAAAGACTTTATTTTCCATCTGAATTTTCATCACTCAGTGAAATTTCCTTCTCATTTCACATTTTATATTTTGTTAAAAATTTTGGTACAGTATCTCATTTCAAAAATCAAGTGGCTTTATGTTTTTTCACCAAATATTAGAATTTGGATTAAATAAAAAGATCAACTTGTAGCAGGTGTTTCTTGTAATGGTAACAGTTGTCGAGACAAAGTTGTATGCTGACAGGAGTGGAGACAACAGGTAATGGCTCCTCACTTCTCTCTGTGGACACCTGAAAAGTAAAAACAAAATATCCATACAGTATATATTAACAATTGCCGGTACAGTACTGTATAGAGAAAAGGTCAAGCCTTTAGCATATACCTGTACTGTACTGTGATACAGATGTGTAACAATACAACTTTAGACGACTAAAAAATCATGAATAAATAATGGAAAAATTCATACCTTGTAAGCTAATTCAATTGTGTTATATTCTCTGTGCTGTACTGAGTTAAGTGGTAAACCTATGTTTTCTACGTACCTCATGTACTGCATGAGGTTTAGTTCCATTGGATCTAATATTCTTATAAATTGTTGTCCATCATGATCACTGATAAGAGATAAATAGGGATATACAGTACATGTATAGAGTACTTTCCTTCATCCATTAAATTCTTGCATACCCAGATTTTTTTTATTTAAGGAAATAAAGACTATGAAAGCTCATCAAATGATTAGTACTGTATGGTACTGTATTCTAAACTTATTCAACCCACATTGGCATTAGTACTTATAAGCAAACACTGTAATCAAATGATGCAATACAAAAACTTAAGGACAATGGCAGCTATAAAGTTGGTATGTACATTCTCCCAAAAAAGTATCGGCCCCTTTTCTCATCGATACAATGTGTCACAATGGACGAATATTTCCAATCACTAATTGTGATTCCTGCATTATGTTGGTAGACCTGCCTTCCTAGTGTCTGTTAGTTCCCAGTTATTATTTCTTGCATTTGTTGTAATTATGCTGAATCACCACACTATCTTTAGTAGAATAATATAATGATATTGTATTAATGTAGCAAAAACATATCAACGGCAGTCAAATACCCTGTAGTGGGTGTTTTCTGCTGGAAATCCATTACCAACACTAGTACCCGAGACTCATTGGAAAATACAGCTTGCACCGACAGACATGGAGAAACGTCACTTTCCGAATAACAGTACAGTAAATCCTCGATAACATGGCACATACTCTGGCCTTGCCGAGTTATCCCAAATTCCGTCTTATCGAGGTATTTTCCCCCTCCTACTAAAATACAACAATAAAAAATTATCGACCCATATATGTGTACATGTAATTACTAAATGTAAAAAAAGTAACATTTACCAGCACTGCAGGTGAAAAATGAAGCATCATAGTAGGTGACACATGCATGGTAGGTGACACAGGTATGGTAGGTGACGCAGAGGCATGGTATGTGATGCAGAGGCATGGTAGGTGACACAGAGGCATGGTAGTTGACACAAGGGCATGGTAAGAGACACAGAAGCATGGTAGGTGACACAGAAGCATGGTAGGTGACACAGAAGCATGGTAGGTGACACAGAAGCATGGTAGGTGACACAGAAGCATGGTAGGTGACACAAGGGCATGGTAGGTGACACAGAAGCATGGTAGGTGACACAGAAGCATGGTAGGTGACACAGAAGCATGGTAGGTGACACAGAAGCATGGTAGGTGACACAGAAGCATGGTAGGTGACACAGAGGCATGGTAGGTGACACAGAGGCATGGTAGGTGACACAGAAGCATGGTAGGTGACACAGAGGCATGGTAGGTGACACAGAGGCATGGTAGGTGACACAGAAGCATGGTAGGTGACACAGAAGCATGGTAGGTGACACAGAAGCATGGTAGGTGACACAGAAGCATGGTAGGTGACACAGAAGCATGGTAGGTGACACAGAAGCATGGTAGGTGACACAGAAGCATGGTAGGTGACACAGAAGCATGGTAGGTGACACAGAGGCATGGTAGGTGACACAGAAGCATGGTAGGTGACACAGAAGCATGGTAAGAGACACAAGCATGGTAGGTGACACAGAAGCATGGTAGGTGACACAGAAGCATGGTAGGTGACACAGAAGCATGGTAGGTGACACAAGGCATGGTAGGTGACACAGAAGCATGGTAGGTGACACAGAAGGTAGGTGACACAGAAGCATGGTAAGAGACACAGAAGCATGGTAAGAGACACAGAAGCATGGTAGGTGACACAGAAGCATGGTAAGAGACACAGAAGCATGGTAGGTGACACAGAAGCATGGTAGGGCACAGAAGCATGGTAGGTGACATACAGAAGCATGAAGAGACAGAAGCATAGGTGACAGAAGCATGGTAGGTGACACAGAAGCATGGTAGGTGACACAGAAGCATGGTAGGTGACACAAGGGCATGGTAGGTGACACAGAAGCATGGTGGGTGACACAGAAGCATGGTAGGTGACACAGAAGCACGGTGAGCACATAGGCAGCAGTAGGCAAGAGCCACAGCATAGTAGGTGACACAGGGGCATGTAGGTGACACAGAGCATGGTAGGTGACACAGAAGCCACGGTAGGTGACAAAGAGCTACGGTAGGGACACAGAGGCATGGTAGGTGACACAGAGGCATGGTAGGTGACACGAAGCCAGGTAAGTGACACAGAGCATGGTAGGTGACACAGAAGCATGGTGAGGTGACACAGAAGCATGGTAGGGTGGTCAGAAGCATGGTAGGTGACACAGAAGCATGGTAGGTGACACAGAAGCATGGTAGGTGACACAGAAGCATGGTAGGTGACACAGAAGCATGGTAGGTGATATACAGTATTACCCCGCCTAACGCGGTTTCACTTAACGCGTTTTATCATATACGCGGTGCCTCGCCAGAGCTGAACTTTCACTTAACACGGATTTTTTCCACATATACGCGGTGAGTGTCCGGCTCGAGACGCTATTTTTAGATTTGCCCCACCCGCCACCCTGCCTGACTGCCTGTTTTAGCTCATAAAATTCATACAAATTACCCGGCCAGAATATAATTTACATTGCTGGAATTCTTATAATTTGGTGATCATTTTGAATATAAACATCATATATTTTGCATTAGACATACAAATTTTAGATAAAAATTTTTCTCAGAGTAACTATGTTATCTTTTGTGCAAAATATATGACATTTATATTCAAAATATTCCTGGTCTTACAAGGAATCCAGCAATGTCAATTATATTATCCTAACTTTAGTTTGAGGTATTATTTATTAAAATTTAGTGGTTATCCCACACATCTCCTTGGGACGGTTGGTGGGGGGTGGGGGGGAGGGAGGGGACCGACCGACCATCTGTTACCCGGTGAAGAATTATTTTTTTTTTTTTAACTGAAGATATTTGTTTTAGCTCATAAAATTCATACAAATTACCCGGTCTGAATATAATTTACATTGCTGGAATTCTTATAATTTGATGATCATTTTGAATATAAACATCATATATTTTGCATTAGACATACAAATTTTAGATAAAATTTTTCTCAAATTAACTATGTTATCTTTTGTGCAAAATATATGACATTTATATTCAAAATATTCCTGGTCTTACAAGGAATCCAGCAATGTCAATTATATTATCCTAACTTTAATCTGAGGTATTATTTAATACTAAATGTTAAAAACTCTGGAAGGGAGGATTGGTGGGGGGTGGGGGGGAGGGTTGGGACTGACCGCGCGGTTGGAAGAGGGGGGGAGGCAAGGTGGGGTACTTTGATTGACAGATAGTGTCGTGAAGATTATTTTTTTTTTATTAACTGAAGATATTTGTTTTAGCTTATAAAATTCATACAAATTACCCGGTCAGAATATAATTTACATTGCTGGAATTCTTATAATTTGGTGATCATTTTGAATATAAACATCATATATTTTGCATTGAACATACAAATTTTAGATAAAAAAATTTCTCTAGGTAACTATGTTATCTTTTGTGCAAAATATATGACATTTATATTCAAAATATTCCTGGTCTTACAAGGAATCCAGCAATGTCAATTGTATTATCCTAACTTTAGTTTGAGGTTATTATTTATTAAAATTTAGTGGTTTTCCCCCAAAAATTTCTCTGAGAGGGAAGAGCCGGCAGTGTAGTGTGAGAGGGGGAGGGAGTTGAGTCCATTATTTGAATGGACATTAACTTGGCGACTGTATTTCTCTATTTCTCTTAAGTATTAATTGTGTGCATGTACCATCATAAAATTAAGATGTTATTTTTACTACAACATAGGTATGTGCCTTCAAAAAGTGGAGTTTGGGGGTCGGGCCGGTTTCTATTGGAATTAATCCCATATGTTCTGTTGTTCACTTAACGCGGATTTCACTTAACACGGGACCCTCTGGGTTCTATTGACCGCGTTAAGTGGGGTACAACTGTAAGTGGTGAAGGGACTATGTACAGTACAGGGGGTCCCTGGGTTATGAACGGGCTCCGTTCCTGACGACGTTCTTAAGTCGGATTTGTAAACAAGTCAGAACACATGCTATGTGCAAGTCCTGCTTAACGTTGTTTCGGTACTACGTCGCTAAACTTTAGACCAAAAATTCGTTTAACATCCCAGTGATCTGATACTACGTCATTTTGAGTCGTCACGGACTACTGTCTATGGCGCATCACCCTCTCGTCTGACCGCGCTACACTCTCTCGGCTTGCCGAAGTCTCAGTGACTCGCCACCCTCCTCCTCTGCTCCCGCCATACTCCTCCCCTCCCACCATCCGCCTCCTCTGCTTCACTACCCACCACACACTCACTCTACCACCTCTGCCCATTGGTGAGTACCTATGCAAACTTAGTACTGTAGTTGTACATGTAAGCATTATTTTCTTTAGAAAAGGCAATGATTTTCTGTATATGTAATGTATTTCATGGGGCAAAGGGAGGCTCAGGAACATAACTCCCGTATTTTATCTATTTCTTATGGGAAAAATTGATCCGTTTCACGTTGTTTCGTATAACGTCGAGTTTTTAGGAACGTAACCCCCACGTTAAGCGAGGATTTACTGTATACATCTAAAATCACTTATTTTAAGACAAAAAAAGAAATAGAATGACAAAATACAGTGTTTGAAAGTACTGTACTGTAAAAAAATAAGTCCTCGGGTAAATAAAATACTGTAAATTCCAAGATTAACCTCATTCATATTGGCGGGCGTTCGTAAGTCAGGGACCCCCTGTATACAGACTGTACAATACGT